GGAAGACAGTTTGGAACTGTCTCATGAAGTTAAGCATACTCTTACCACATGATCCAGTAACTGCACTCCTTCCCAAATGTGTTAAAAATTATGCACACGCAAAAACCCTCACTGGTAAGTTTCTATCAGCTTTATTCATAACTTTCAAAACTTGGAGGCAACCAACATATCCTTCAGTAGGTAAATTAATAAATGAACTGATACATTCAGACAATGAAATATTATTTAGCACCAGAAAAAATGAGCTATCAAGCCATAAAAAGACATGGAGGAAACTAAAATGTATATTACTAAGTGAAAGAAGCCAATCTGAAAAGGCTACATACTGTATGATTCCAACTATATGATACTCTGGGAAAGCCAAAACTTTGGAGACAGTAAAAAGATTAGTGATTGTCAGGGGTTACAGGAAGGGAGGGATGAATAGGTGGAGCACAGAGGATTTTTATGGCAGTGAAACTACTTTGTATGATTCTTTAGTGGTGGATACATGTCATTATACGTTTGTCAAAACCTATTAAATGTATAATGTTGAATCCTAATATAAACTATGGATTTTGGATGATAATGATATATCATTGCAGGTTTATTGATTGTAACAAATGTGCCATTCTGGTGCCAGATTTTGATAGTGGGGAATGCTAAACATGTTGCAGGGGCAGGAGGGGCAAAAAGAGTACATGGGAAATCTCTGTACTTCCTGCCAAGTTTTGTTGTGAACCTAAAACTGCTCTAAAAACAGTCTATTTAAAAGGTGGGTTGGGGATGGATTCCTAAGTGGGTTCTACGAAGGAGCATTCCAATTAGAGAAGCCACAGCTACATCTCTGTAAGTCCCAGCCTCAGATACAGCTTTCCCCTGCTTGCTGAAACACTCTTGTGGGAGCCCTAGGACGCCAATGTAAAAAGCCATCTTACCCTGAGGCTGCCTTGCTGTGAAGAAGCCCAAACCAAGCCCTTCAGAGTCCACATAGAAAGGTCCTGGGCTATATAGAGATGCCTAGCCAGCTCCCAGCCATCCTTGCTTCCTTCCTGTTCCACCTCGAACCACTGTCTGATCGTAATCAGATGAGAAATGCAGAGCTAAAACCACCGAGCTGAGCCCTTCCTGAATTGCAGTCCCATAAAAATAATGAAAGATGATAAAATACCTGTTATTGTTTTAAGTCCCTGAGTTTTGGGGTAGTTTGTTACACATCCTGTAGAACAGTCACCAGAAACAGAGGCTACTAACCAATTTTGCCTGGACCTGTGAGGGAAAAATGGTATTTCTGCTCAGAGACCTTGCTGCCTGAGAATTTCCACCTGCAGACCACACTCTTGGAGTCGAGTCTCAGTCTTTATTCTTTTCTCCAACTTGATTATGAAGGATGACTTCATGCAATTCACTTGATATTTTCAGATTCCACATTTACAAAGTAAACCTGTCCTTGTTTTCTACATGGCCCTTAAGAAGGCTGTGAGGGTCAATAGGATGTCATAGGAACAATCATCCCAAGGCAGGTGTTCTGTAAATGTAACCAGTGACTTGATTTCCTCATGCTTGCCCATCTTCATGATGAAGTTCTTCTAAGAAGCTGAAGTAATGTGAAGTGGATACTATAATAGTTCACTAACTGGATTTACCTCCAGCACAACTCCAGCAGACTCAGTAGTGACTCCGATGAGTCTGTTACCTCTGACTTGTTAAATTAGAGGGGGAAAGCACTAGCATCTCCATATTTATACAGAAGAATCCTGCTTCCCATGCTGAATCTCTCTTCTGTAACTCCACAAGGTCAGTCCCCATTACTTTTCAATAGGAGAAACAGGAGAAAAATTCTCTTCAAATGGCCTCTTTTTGTGAGCTTTGCTCTCTGTGAGATCTCAGGGAACGTATGTGGTTAGGATCGTTTCTTCCAGCACCACAGCCTTTTTCAAAATCCCTCTTTTGGCAACCAGCAAGTCTCTTATAATCCCTCTGGAAATAGCTTTTCCCTGAGAATAATCACCCTGGCAATGAGGCAGGGAAGAACACATAACTATGTCCCAGGAAAGCCATGTTGGAGGCCCTCATTTAATGCCAATTCTATACAGTATGGCTACTCCTAAAGGAAAATATCACCTTGATAGAGAAATCAGGCCCTGTGGCTGCTCAGCCTGGGTGGTCTGACAACCATGTAGAAAGCAACTGCAGGGACAGTTCTTTTTTTTTTTTTTTTTTTGAGATGAAGTTTCACTATTGTTACCCAGGCTGGAGTGCAATGGCGCAATCTCGGCTCACCGCAACCTCCGCGTCCTGGGTTCAGGCAATTCTCCTGCCTCAGCCTCCTGAGTAGCTGGGATTACAGGCATGTGCCACCATGCCCAGCTGATTTTTTGTATTTTTAGTAGAGACGGGGTTTCACCATGTTGAACCAGGATGGTCTCGATCTCTTGACCTCGTGATCCACCCGCCTCGGCCTCCCAAAGTACCGGGATTACAGGCGTGAGCCACCGCGCCCGGCCAGGGACAGTTCTTAACCTAGGTCACTTCTAATGTTCAATGGTAAGAGGGAGATATTAAAAATTAATTATTTTACTGTCTCTTCAGATTTTATCCTGCCTCTAATTAGACAGAGCAGAATCTAGAATAGCTTCTACCCTAAAACCTAAAATTGAAAAAATCTAAAAATATGTATATATGTACTTTTACTTATATACAATATGAATTGTTGAATTGTGAATTTTCTTGAAAACCTCGAGCAGGCTATTTATTAATATTATGGCCAAGAAAGCTCAATATTTTTTTTAAAAAAGAAAATGGGCACAGATCATTGATACTGCACTAATTAGGATTCTAGAAATTTAATTAAGTACTTATGTTGAATTTAGTGAAATTGGTTTTGATTGCATCAAGATAACTGATAACGTCGCATAGAAGGAGGTAAATTTAGAAGGACGTGTTATATTTCATAGGATATATTTTGGGTGATGTTTTTTCTTCACTTTCTACCCTTTCCACAACCCCATTTCTGCTACAGTAGGAACACAAAGACATTTTGTTTCTGGCTTGTTTAGGCTCCCTTCAATTTTTAAAAACTGAATGTGAAGCAAACTTAACTCTAAAGGCTACCCTTACTCTTAACATTTAAAGTATCAAAAATATTTTTGGACAAATGAAAAGATAACATATTTTTGAGGAAATTAATGCATTCAAATTACTAGCAATCTTTAGGTTGACTTTTTCTACTATTACAAATTTTAAGTCTTTCAGTTCTTTTCATGGAAGTTTCAGGGCTCTATCCTGAGTCATTTAACTTCTATTAACAGATCTGTCCTGGCTTCTTATTGGCATTATTCCTGTGCCACCCACATAGAACTCCAAATGCGGATCCAAGGATTGCTGAGCTGTGAACACTCTATTTGTGTAATTCTGCCAGTGACCACCCTTAAACCTCAAAAGAATCAAAGGAAAGCAAAGATATGCTGAAATTTTAAAAAGTTTTAAAAAAGCCTTGAGGACACTTACAAGAATGTGAGTTCTTCTATACTGCATCCTGTCAAATATGAGTCCAAAGGGTCAGGACCACCTATGTACAGCTTTCAGCAGCTAGGGGCTCTGGACATGATCTGTGGTAAAGTTGAATGCACACATATACCAGCCTGCCCAACGCGCCATGAAAAAAATCAAGACTAACCACAACCTGAAAGAGGAAACTCCCATCTGGTGCAAAAAGTGGATGAATTGTGAGCCTTGGATTCAAATATCCTCTTTTACCTTTCTCAATCCATAAATACGATTTGTGTGTATATGTGCGTTGTATGCGCATGCAAACTTTGTACCTTAAACCGTAACATAAAGACATGAAAGAGTAGGGCTTCCCCATCCAGCAACTATGGATTAGGCAAAAGTTAAACAAAAAGAAAATATAGTAGTCATTTGAATCTTAACTACTAACTTTCTAGCCAACATCACCAACAATAAAAGCTTTGTTTTGTCGTGATTACAATTTGTAATTTCAATTTTATTCAGTGTTCTGAATTAAAGCGAAGAGAACATCAGTTAATTATAAGTTAATTTTGCCATAATCTGGAATAAATTAGATGATTGTTTAGTTTACATAAATATATTCCAATCATAAATTGGAATTTCAGACTTTGAAGGGAGCTTTGAAGTTACTTCCCATCCAAACCTCTCATTTTAGAGATGAAAAAAATAGGGGAGCCGATATGATTAAATGACCTGCCCAAGGTCATACAGCTAATTAAAAGCTAAGCAAGAACTAGATATCATGTCCCCTGCTTTCACATTAGGGGGTTTGTTTTGTTTCTATTACACCTCAGCTTTTTGGTTAGTCATAATAAGAGGTGGCAGTGGCCCAGATTAAAGAAAATAGCAAATAGACCTTCTGTCCCTTTCTTTGTTCTTTGGCTCTTTGCAAATGGGACTGCTTTGTTGTTAGTTTAATTATTTTTATGTGCTCTGCATCGTCTAACACAGCGTACATTTTTTTCAGCAAAAATGTTAATTATACTGAATAAATAGGGACATTAACTGATATATCTTTTGAGAAACAGCAGATTCATGTTGATATTAGCATTACGGATGGTGAAAGAAAGCTGTTAGCCAGGTGGAGAATGATAGAGGAGGAAGCTGGTTTGGAATTTATGTTTTCCATTTCCATACCACAAAGAACAAACCACATGGAAGCAATAGAGACTTAACAGGAAAATACAAACAGCAGTATTATTCACATCATGTGAATAAGTCATTCCTTTTTCTCATTATCCTTCTCATGTTGCTAATGAATCATGTGTAACTCTCTTTCTTAAAATTTGTTCCTTCTTTCTCAGATATAACTTAAATCATCTCCCTATTGTATGTGGTACAACTAGCCCTAAGCTTATAAGGTTTCAAAATAGATTGCTAATTACAATTTTTGCAGAAGCAGTATTGTGTCTTATAAAGAGGATTTGAACTTAGAAGACATAGTATTGTGTCTTATAAAGAGCATTTGAAAATTAGAAGACATAGTTTCTAGACCTGGACCTGTCAATAAGAAATTGTGTGATTTTTGGACCAGTTGTGCAAAGCCACTGGTGATCTCCCATCTCCCTTCCAACTTTAAGATTATGCGGCTCAATATCCTTTCTTAATGAAGTCACAAATAATTATTGAACACTACTTAGGCATTTATTACTACTTAAAAAGGTAGCTATCTCATTTGGAAAGAGCAAACTCAACATACCATGTTATCAATAACCAAGAAAAGACTCAAGTGACTTGTTAAGCACCAAGGGGGTTGGAAGGGATAAAAAGAGCTATATAAGGCCAGGCACAGCAGCTAACATGTGTCATATCAGCACTTTGGGAGGCCAAGGCAGGAGAATCACTTGAGCCCAGGAGTTTGAGACCCACTTGGGCAACATGGAAAGACCCCATCTCTGCAAAAGATACAAAAATACTTTAGCCAGGTGGGGTGGCACACACCTGTAGTCTCAGTTACTTGGGAGGCTAAGATGGAAGAATCTTTTGCATCTGGGATGCAGAAGTTGCAGTGAGCTGTGATTGTGCCACTGCATTTCAGCCTAAGTGAAAGAACCAGATCTTCTCAAAAAAAAAAAAAAAAAAAGAGAGAAAGAGAGAGAGAGGAGGGGGGGAATATAAAATAGGTTCTCTGCCCTCAAAGGCTTTAACAAACCAGCTAGGGAAACAAAACCCACAGATAAGAGAATAAGTAAAGTTCACATTATTATTGTTCATGTAAAGGGTCTAATTGGTGTCCAGTTGATTTTATCTGGATAACGTTTTTTAAACAAGTACTAAGTTAGGCTGCATAATCTTTGAACTCTGTAAACATACAGAGAGAGAAAAATGCGACCTAGAATATGAACGCATACCCTAAAACCAAGACTACAGCAAGAGCAGCCAAAGTACCTCTTTCACACTGACAGACAGTGAAACCAGTGCAGTCACACAGGGCCCCACAGTTGGGGTTTGATGCTCTATGGTTGCTGCCTGGAAATTCTTAATAACATTATCTTTGAATATGGATTTTCTGAGTGAAGTCCAATGGGACAATGGAGCATGCACCAGGACCTTTGAGCTTCAGCTCCACGTGGTCCTGCCTCCCTCTAACTGCCCTGGACAGGTTCTCAACATTCTGCTCCAACTCCCTCTCATCCTCCACCCCAGTTATTTCTCCCTCTTCTCCCCACAATGACTGTCATCCTCTGATCCTGGCAGAAGCATGAGGATAACATAAAGAGAATAGAGTTAGGTGTCTGCATTCTGGCATCTGAGGACAGAACATGGTGGCAGTCCCTGAGCCCTGGGCTGACAGTACCACTGCTCACACATCTGTTGATCAGCCCAGCAGAGGCTGCATCTAGGTAGTGGGGACAGCCTTTCTCCTATCCCACCTAGATCCTGAGCACATTTCAGCCCTGAATTTAAAGATGCTTGAGGATTACTCATCTCCTGTGGATTGAGGCAGCACACTCAATTTCCATAGACCCTAGCCCCACTGAGTGGTGTGGGCTCATGGCTGACAGGAGCAGAACCTGGGAAGTGACACACATGTCCTTGTTCAGCTGTGAGGATTCACACTCACCCCAAGAGTACCCCCTGCTCCATGCCTCGGAGAAATCTTCTCTTCCTTCTTCCACCTTTCGGTTCATATTTGTCTCTTCTGGCCCACTAGAGGCAGAAAATGTTCCGTTCATTTTTATATTGTGCTCTGACACTTGCATTTAAAACTGGCATTACACAATATAAAAATAAATGGAAAATTTGCACTACACATTAAACATCTAAATTTTTCTTGACTTAGAATGACATCAAATAGCAACTAAAAACATCAAGACAAGGTTGAGAGAGAGAAACACCATGGAAGGAAGAAAAAAGCCTCATACATACTGATATGGTTTGGCTCTGTGTCCCCACCCAAATCTCATCTTGAATTGTAATTCCCATGTCTTGAGGGAGGAACTGGTGGGATTGGTTGGATTATGGGGGTGGTTTCCCCCATGCCGTTCTCATGATAGTAACTGAGTTTTCATGAGATCAGACACTTTAAAAGTATTTGTCAGTTCTACCCCGCCATCCCCGCCGCCCCCACCGCCCCGTCCCTTTCTCTCCTACTTCACTGTGGTAAGATGTGGCCTGGCTTCCCCTTCACCTTCCTCCATGATTGTAAGTTTCCTGAGGCCTCCCCAGCTGTGTGTGACTGTGAGTCAATTAAAGCTTTTATCTTTATAAACTACTCAGTCTCTGGTATGTCTTTATAGCAGTATGAAAACAGACAAATACACCCACCTTTAATGGTGTTTTTCCCCCTGATTTTTGACAAGGACTTCACATTTTTATTTTGCACTAGGCTTTACAAATTATATAGTTAGCTCCATAAACAAAAAGAGGAATTCTGTCTTTAAAAAGTTTACTGACTTGCAATTATGTCTATATAACTGCAAAAAGTTTAAAGATTTCCAGTAATTCCTAATCTCTTACTTTTTTTTTTTAACTTTGCCACCTCATCATTTCCCTGAAGACTCCTCAATCTTCCAGAAAACCTGAGTTTTAATATCTGATTCTTGGAAACAATTGTTTCATTATCACTTGTACCATTTTTGTCAGTCATTTTGAATCAAAAGTATTCACTAAATACAAACTAAATGGGAGAAAGAGAGCACCTAAAAGAATAAGCAGTATCTACTACACAATACTCTCAATTTGGGATAGCAGAGCCCAAATTGGCATAAAAATATATCCCACTAGGTGTCATAGGATGAGAGAGTACATTAATACTCAAAGCATGGGGAAAAGATATTAAACATGCATAATCATGATTTTGCTTAACATATTTGTAAAGAAAAATACTATACAAATTATGGAACAAAACACTTGAAAGCTATATATCATTAACGAACCATGTGCTTACAATTTTGTATCTTGCATTCTTCACTTAATCCTTAAATATTTCTCCCAATGTATCTACTATAATTTGCGTATTATTTTCTTACTTTTGGATATTAGTTGTTTCTGGTTTTGTGCTTCAAACTCCCATATTTCAAATTACTTCCTTAGGATATATTCCACTTGGGACAAATAATATGATATTGATAAAGGATATCTGTACTTTCAAATTGCTTTAAAAAAAATGTTACAGAAATTTCTAGTCCAACAAACGAGCATTTCAGTGTCTTAGTCCATTTTCTGGAACTATGACAGAATATCAAGGATTGAGTAATTTATGACGTTTACCAGGCTCATGGTTCTTGAGGCTGGGAAGTCCAAGAGCATGGTACCTGGCATGGATGAGAGTCATCACAGATAGAAGAGCAGAAGACAGAGGGCAAGAAAGTAAGTGTGAGAGACAACTAACTTTTGTAACAATGGCACTCCCACAATAACTGAATTATTCTCACAATAACAACAGTAATCAATTCATTAGGGAGTATCCTTCATGACTCAATTGCCTTCCAAAGTCCCTCCTCTCAACACTGCCACAATGGCAGCCAAGTTTTCAACGCATAAACTTTTGGGGGACACATTCAAACCACAGCATACAGTATCCGTTTCAACACTTAAATTTGTTGCCTAATTATCAATTAATTAATCATTTTCCAATTCAAAAAGTAAATCATATCTTATTGCTTTAATTTGTACTTCTTTACTAGTAAGATTGAACATTTACTAATCATTTTTAATATCTCTTCATATATGTCACATATATATATATATATATATATATATATATATATATACCTTTACAAGAATTAATAGGATATTACAGCATTAGTTCTGGGTTTACATCCTACCAGCATAGCAATGCTATTGAAAATAAATTCTCCTTCCCAAAGTGACTATCACCGGCTTGGATAGGACAACACACACACACATTCTTGACCAGTCATCATGGGTAAAGATAGAGTAGTACCTTCATTTTCAAGGTCTTGTTCCTATGCCCAACCCGTCATGCTGGTGGATGGAGTCAGCCCTAATTGAGCTGGGAGCAACAAACATCACTGCTCATTGCAAATTCCTGAAACAGACTCAGGAAAACTACACAGTCTTCTAACTTTAGACATCATAGCATAGGGTGTTCAGTGTATTTCCATACCTTCAATTGGGTATAAATGCTTCTGAGCTAAAGGAAATTGTGGAACAGCTTATCACAAAGTGACCATTTGTAAAAGACAGAATGTACTTGCAGGTGATCAACTATCAAGTACTTAACTTCCCACATACAAAAACTGATGCTTCCTTTTAGAACTAGGCATCTGTTAAAAGGAAGCATTGGATGAGATCTATTGTATACAGTATTTTATGAAAATATCAAGTTGTATCTTTAATGCATGTCCAAACAAATCTTACCTTGACACATCAACCATTATTATCCTTTCCTCTGAGTAAAATTTGTCTGGATTGAAGTAGAACAGTAAAAACCTTTGCTTAAAAAAAAAAAATGGAAAAGTATCTCTTAAGAGAGATCCTTTCAGGTTATAGTGTTCAGAGAGTTGTAAACCATGAGAAGTTGATTGAAATGAATTTTGAAATCTTAAAGTTTAACAATGCAGATAAGTATACAATAAAAAACTTCTCTAAAAGTGTAAACAAAAGGAGTGATTACATAAGATTACTTCTTGTTTATTTGGTCTTTTTAGTATACTCTTTCTGCTTATATTTTGATCACAAAGAAACCAAGTAGAATTGTAAGTTAGTATTATGTTCTTCCCTTCTATTTTTCACTGCCCTTTTCATTGCTGTAGGGAGTGGGGAGGTGTGAAGGTGTGGGGGGTATGAGGATGCACAAAGAAGCTAAGTACTTGTCTGAAGTCACACAGACAATCGCTAACAGAGCCAGAAACCAAAATCCTGTTTTCTCTAGTCTAATCCATGAAATTCCTCTAACAAGCGTCATAACCTCAGCAATTGGATTTTTCTGGGTGTTCATTCTAATGGCTAGAAGTCAAGCAAACTATAAATGCCACCAGCAAGTGCTAAATAGGAATCAGTGAGCACCCAGAGCTGAACCCAAATCCCAACTCTA